TTCTGAGGAGTGGCTGGTGGGTTTGAACCACTAGCCTTTTGGTTAGCAGTCAAGTGCCTTAGGCACTATGCACCAGAGCGCCTTTGATTAACCTACTCGTTTATAATTTATCTTTCAAAGATTATAACTTCTAAATCAGTAGTTCTTAGCTGGGGGATATTTTGCCCCTAGGGAATATTTAGCATTATATCTAGAGACAGTTTTGGCTGTCACAACTGGGTGCTACTGGCATCTCTTGGGTGGAGGCCAGGGATGCTGCTAAACAGTGCACGGGACAGGTCCCACAACAAAGAAGTGTTGCTGGCTGCTGTTGAGTCTCCCCCAGCCCCACCCCTACTCGACACTTGACTACCCCATGCACAACAGTATGAAATACTGCCCCATCTTGCACCATCCCCATCATCTGTCATGGATCAGACCATTGTGATCCATAAAGTTTCCATTGGCTGATTTTGGGGAATAGGTTGCCAAGCCTTCCTTCCTAGTCCATGTTAGTCAGGAAGCTCTGCTGAAACCTGTTCAGAATCAGCAACACACAAATCTCACTGACAGATGGGTGCAGGCTGTGCATGAAGTGCATTGGCTGAGAAGGGAAGCCAGGTCTCCTACATGGACAGCAAGAGTTCCACCATTGAACCACCATTGCCCTCATGGTTTCCCAAAATGTCAGTAGTGCACAGGTTGGCAAGCCCTGATCTAAATCAACACACACACACACAAAATAATGTCTCTTGTAATTCTACTACCTTAACAAATCAAACTCTTGACTTTCCCACTTGCCCCCCAGCCTCTGCCCACCATGCATATTTCAATTCATATAGGTCTCATAATAATTGCAGTAATACACTCTACATTGCACTTTTCTTCACTTACTATTGCATCCTAAACTTTTGTACCTCCTGCCTGGTTGTCTTCATAATTACCATTTTTAATGGAGATGATATAATACTCCAGGCAGGATGATACTCCATATTTTACCTGTCTGAGTTTCTCGTGGCATGTTTTTTTTTGTTTTTTTTTTTTGTTTTTTTTTGAGGGACTCACCAAGCAGGCTATGTCTTAGTTATCTAAAGAAAAAACAAAAAACCCGAAACTCACTGCTATCAAGTTGATCCCTACTCATAGCAACCCCTCCTTGGGTTTCTGAGGTGGTATCTTTATGGAAGTAGATTGCCCAGTCGTCCTTCCAAGGAGTAGCTGGTGGGTTTGAACCACCAGCCTTCTGGTTAGCAGTCAAATACCTTAGAGCTCCCTTGTCTTAGTTATCTAGTGGTGCTACAACAGAATACCACGAGTGAATGGCCCCAACTAACACAAACCCATCCTCTCACAGTTCAAGTCTGAAGTCCAACTCCAGGGCACCAGCTCGGGGAAAATTTTCCCTTCCTCCACTGGCTCTGGGGAAAGGTCTCTGCCTCCCTTAAAAATCTGTGGGCCTGGCATTTCTTGCAGATCTCCATGTGGCATCAGTCCTCCCAAGTCTAGGAGTTTCTCAGTGTAGGAACTCCAAGTCCGAAGGACTCTGCTCCTTGTAATCAGGTCCCTCCCCTCTACTTGCTTCTCTCTTCTTTCCTCTCTTGTGACATAAAAGGTGTGACTCAAGCAAGGGTGGTGACTTGAGTACTTGAGTAAATGTGGTGACTTGAATAAGGGTAGGATTTGATTTGTGCCCTGTTGTAAGGCTAATCCTACCTTATGAACATATAGAAGTTAGGATTTATAATACATATCACAAAATAGAAGATAATTACATCAGATCACAGAATGGAGAACAACCACAGAATACTGGGAATCATGGCGTAACCAAGTTGATATATATTTTGGGGGAACACATCTCAATCCACAACAATCCACCTTTTGGCCACCAAAATTCATGAACTCACCACTTGCAAAATACATTTACCCCATCATATCATCCCAAAAGTCTCAAATTGACTCCAAGTCCAAAATCTCATCTTCTAAATCATTAAAATCAAATATGGGTGAGACCCTAGGCACAATCTATCCTGGGGTAAAATTCTTCTTCATTTGTAAACATGCCAAATCTAGACTACATGACATCTGCTTCCAAAGCACAATGGTGGAGCAGATGTCTCCATTACAAATGGGCAAAATTAGGGCGAAAGAAGGGATAACAGGCCCCAAACAAGTCCAAAACCCAGCAAAACAAATTAAATCCTCTCCTCTCTGAGACCATCTGGCAATGGCCCCATCCACCAGCCAAATTCAGCCTATCTTCTCATTACTGCACTTCCCCTACTTCCATTTATCCAGTAGCTGCAGGTGGTTACCTCAAGTAAGCATACCAGGTTGTCTACTTGTGTTGTTTTTGTTGTTGTTATGTGCCATCTAGTCAGACCGGACTCATAGCGACCCCTCCTTGGGTTTCCGAGGTGGTATCACTATGAAAGTAGATTGCCCAACCTTCCTTCCGAGGAGTGGCTGGTAGGTTTGAACTGCCAGCCTTCTGGTTAGCAGTTAAGTGCCTTAGGCACTACGCTACCAGAGCTCCTCTACGCTACCAGAGTCTACTTGCTAGCTCCCTTTAACTTCCAGTCCTAGAAAGGGGTTCTTCTGGTGAGCACTGACTTTCTACCTCAGTGACTCTGAGTGTTGACCATGTCCCCTAGACTCTGGACTCCTCAGCCCTGGGCCTTAGCTCTGCCTTCCAGGCTCACCAGGATGGTAACTCTGTTCCCTAGCCCCCAGGTGGCCCCATCCTTCCAGTCCAGCCCCCTCCATCACTCCAACAGACCCTGTTCATCTGCCCTTGGGCATGGCAGCCCCACCCCCTCAACTTTGGGCAGTGGCCCCATCCTCCAGCACACTGTAACAGCAGCCCTACATTCCAGAGCTGAGTTGGCAAAGATCCAACTTCTTAAAACCTGGGAGGTTGTGGTCCCAATCCTTGAGATCCAGGAGACCATGGTACCACCCTTTCAAGCCCCAGAGTCAATGGCCCCATCCTTTGAGACCAAGGAAGCTCCACTCCCTTGCTCTCGCCAACAGTTCTGCTGATCTTCCAGCTGCTCCAGGGATGGTCCTTTTCTTTTTTTGGAGGACAACAAATGTAGCTCCCTTAGTCTGCCTCCTGCCTGTAGAATTCCAAGAGGCAAACAGCATTCTCCCTTTCACTTCCTCTCTGTGTCCTTCAGTCCAGGTCAATGGGTTTTCCACTGTGGTCGTTGGCCAGATCTATCAGTCCCAGGCCCAATCTCTTTAATAAAAGTATGTGTAGCCATGTCCTTGTTGAAAACTCTAGGTTTTATATCCTTATTTTGTACAACAGGATTCTCTAAACCTTTAAGTTTTGTTTTCATTTTGCACAGTTCATTTTCAAGTCCATCTCTCTCCTCTTGCTTCTCTCTGTAAGTGGCAAGGAGAAAACATGCAGCCCTCCAAGGTCTTATGTAGAAATCTCCTCAGTCAAGTATTCAAGTTCATCACTTACAAGTTCTACCCTCCACCAAACACTTGAACATAATTCTGACAAGTTCTTTGCCACTGCCTAGTTCTTTGTCTCTTCTTTCATCATCCAATCACATGTTCATCACCTCCCTTCAGAGGCATATGTCCTCATTTCTAGCAACATTCTGTTGCTGGCACCATATGTATTCTCTAAGACCATAGAGACTTTCTCTGTAAATCTTCTCACTTCATTCTGAGCCCTCACCCGAATTGCCTTTGATATCGATAATTCTACCAACAGTCTCTTCAAGGCCACCTTGGCTTTCACTATTGTTGTTGTTGTTATGTTGTTGTTGTTGTTGTATGCCGTCGAGTCGGCCCCGACTCATAGCGACCCCTCCTTGGGTTTCCGAGGCAGTATCACTACGGAAGTAGGATTGCCCAACCTTCCTTCCGAGGAGTGGCTGGTGGGTTTGAACCGCCAGCCTTCTGGTTAGCAGTCAAGTGCTTTAGCCACTATGCTACCAGAGCTCCCTTAAAACTCTTCCGGCCTCTACACATTACAAAACTGCTTCCACATATTAGGTTTTTTTAGAACAGCACCCCACCCTTCTGTACCAAGTTCTGTCTTAGTTATCTAGTGCTGCTATGACAGAGATACAACAAGTGGATGGCCTCAAGAAACAGAAACCCATTCTGTCACAATCCAGGAAGCTAGAAGTCTGGACCTGGGATGTCAGCTACAGGGGAAGGCCCCCCTCCCTCCACCGGCTCTAGGGAAAGGTCCCCCCACCTCCCTTCAACATCTGTGAGCCTGGTGGCTCATGCAGGTCTTCATGTATCCTGCTATCAGTCCTCCCCTGGGTCTAAGAGAGTCTCAGCACAGGGATCCTGAGTACAATGGATGTGCTCCACTCCTAGCTTTTCTTTCTTGGTGGCAGTCAGGTTCCTCCTCTCTACTTGCTTCTCTCTGTTTCCTTCTCTTATAAGATAAAAAGTGTGACTCAAGCAAGAGTATGACTTGAATAAAGGTTTCAGTACTTGAGTATGGGTGGTGACTTGAGTAAGGATAGGACTTGAGTCACACTCTCTTGTAAGGCTGTGTCTCAAGACACAACCCACCCTAATCCTGCCTCATTAACAGAGGTTAGAATTTATAACACATATCACGAAGTGGAGGATAATTACACCAGATCACAAAATGGAGGATAATCACAGAATACTGGAAATCATGTCCTAGCCAAGTTGACATGTATTTTTTGGGGAAACAACTTAATACACAACAGGCTGTTTGTGATGGAGTAGTTTTCAGGGCCCTGCTGAGGCCAGCTGCCTCCTCTCCCTCTAGCTCAGGCATCAGCATCATAGCCCTCATCATCAAAAGGCCTTTATGAAGCACCTTGGTAAATATGCCCTCTCCCTAGAGCTGGGGGTGGGGAGCATCTTCTGCAGACATCTTCCCCCAGCCCCTGACATCCAGGGCTTGTCGGCTCAGACAGACAGCACATATGTCAGCTAACCACAAAGGCTTCCAAAGGCCGGGCTGCAGTCCTTATGCAGAGGGTACAGAACCAGATCCTTAGGCAACATTCATGCCAAGAGTAAGTGTGTTTGGGCTGAAGACAGGCTAGCTTCCTGGAGGAAGCCTAGGCCTTGAATTCTCTCTTGCAGCTGGCTGGAGGCTTCTTGGAAACAAGAGATTTTAGAAACCACTGGTAGGTAGGGAAGGAAGGATACAGAAAGGACTGAGGAGAAGAGGAGTAGGTCAACAGGCCTGGGACTTGGGGTCAAGTGCCCTAGGTTCCCAGTGCACAGCTTGACAGAACACCAGTTCCAGTGGAGCCATTCTCTTTGAGACTTTCATGCACCCTCACCTCACCTCAGAATCCCTGTTCTTCTCCCTGCAGGTCTTCCATGAACAGGGCATCCTCTTTGGCTACCGGCACCCACAGAGTTCAGCTATTGACTGCCTCCTCAGCCTTTTCCAGATGACCAATGAGACCCTCAACATCTGGACTCACTTGCTGCCCTTCTGGTACCTCTGGGCTTTCTTGGCCGGCCAGCTTGTCTCATTTGGGAGCTCTGGGAGCTGGGCCTTCTTTGAAATACAGCTGGGTTTAGGAGGCCCAAGACTCTGAGCTGGGATTTTGAACCACCCTCCCCTCACCCCCTGTCAGAACTATACATGGATGTGTGTGATAGAGGTGGAAGATACTGGGGCCTGTCAGCGAGATCAGCTTTAGGGCATTTAAAGCTGTGGTAGGATATAAGGTGCTCTTGGCAGCCCCCTAGTCTTGCCCTGCTCCCCTGCCCCAGTGCCTGATTAGGTAATATCATTTTCATTTCCCTCAGTCTTGGAAGGTTTATGGGTCTACCAGAAGCCATGGTTAAAATGACTCTAACTTGAGCAAGTCACTTCAACCCTCTGAGCTTTACATTTCCCCATCTATGAAGCAAGAGTGATAGTTGCTTCTTCCCCAAGGTGCTGTGAGGGTACATGAGAGAACATGGGTAAAGGTACTAGATACAGAGCTATGGAGACCCCATAATAGTTCTGGTAGCGTTTTATCAGTTGCCACTTAGGTGGAACCAGCTAAGAGCAAGGCTATGGTAGGCATTTACACAGAACCGGAGCTGCAGGAAAGTGAAGAGGCGCCTCACTGAGAAAGATGAAGTGAAGACCAGTTTCACACACTTCACAGCTTTGCTTACTGAGTGGACAGTGGAGATGAGGCCAGAACACGTAATCATAGTGTATCAGAGCTGGAAGGATCTCAGAGGTCATTAAAGGACCACCCTCCCTTTCAGGCCACCGTTGGCTGGCATATACTTGCGTACGTCGTGCACCAAGTTGCTTCACTAGGGCTCATTGGTAAAAAATATTCCATTGCCATCAAGTCAATTCCAACTCATAGTGACCCTGCAGGACAGAGTAAAACTGCTCAGTAGACTTTCCTAGGCTGTAGTCTTCATGGAAGGAGACTGCCACATCTTTCTCCTGTGGAGCCACTGGGTAGGTTCAAGCCACTGACTTTTGGTTAGCATTGAGTGCTTAATCGTTGCACCATCAGGGATCCTGGTAAAAAGTATACATGAATTATAATACTGCAAAAGAAAATGGAGTTAATTTCTTCTCTAAGAGCCTAGTTCTCCCTGGAAGTGCCATGTTGATGCACTTCTTGGAGGACGTGTAAGCATCTGGGACGTGCACATCTCCAGCCCCTGGTCTTTTTGTTCCACTGCTCTTTCCCTTGGCAGTAGAGGATATAAAGCTTGCTCTGTCAGCTCCTGCATGTCTCTCAGGTTTGAAGAGCTGTATGATATTCCATTTTATGGATGAGCCACAGTTGACTGAGGCTGTTTATGTTTCTGTATCACTACAAAGAGTGTCGCCCTATCTATCCTTCTGTGGAAGTCTTTGGGCTCCTGTGTGAGGACTTTGTAGCTGTTGTGCCATCTAGTCAAGCTGGCCTAGGAACAACCACTATGCATAGCACCCCTACTCTATGCCAGCTCTGAGAGATGATCCCAATGGAGCAATAGTGAATGGTAGGAAGGGCTTGGGAAACCTTGGATTAAGGTGCCCTAAGTAAAGAAGGAGCTCTGGTAGCATAGTGCCTAAGGCACTTGACTGCTAACCAGAAGGCTGGCGGTTCAAACCCACCAGCCACTCCTTGGAAGGAAGGTTGGGCAATCTACTCCCATAGTAATACCACCTCAGAAACCCAGGGAGGGGTCACTATGAGTTGGGCCCAACTCAAAGGCACATAACAACAACAACCACAAGTAAAGAAGAAGGATCTGTAGCTGGAAAGTATGGCCTTGCCATAGAATGACTCTAAAGATCACATGATAGAATTTTGCAAGACCAGCAACTTAGTCATTGCAAATATCTTTTTTCAACAACACAAACAGTGACTAAATATTGGACCTTGCTGGATGTAATACACAGGAATCAACTCGACTACCTCTGGGAAAGAGACAATGGAGAAGTTCAGTATCATCAGTCACAATAAGGCCAGGGGCCAACTGTGAAACAGACTCTGCATTGCTCATATGCAAATATAAGTTGAAGCAGAAAAAAATTAAAACAAGTCCACAAGAGCCAAAATATGGCCTGAATTTAGAGACCATCTGAAGAATAGATTTGACACATTGAATACCAATGACTAAAAAACAGATGAGTTGTGCTATGACATCGAGGACATCATACATGAAAAAAGCAAAAGGTCATTGAAAAGACAGGAGAGAAAGAAAAGACCAAAATGGATGTTAGAAGAGACTCTGAAACTTGTTATTGAATGGAGAGTAGCTAAAGTGAATAGAAGAAATGATGAAATAAAACAGCTGAACAAAAGATTTTAGAGGGCAGCTCAGGAAGACAAAGTAAAGTATTATAATGAACTGTGTAAGACCTGTAAGAAACTCTGGTGGTGTAGTGTCTAAGGCATTTGACTGCTAACCAAAAGGTTGACAGTTCAAACCCACCAGCCACTCTGTGGAAGAAAGACTGGGCAATCTACGTCCGTAAAGATTTACTACCTTGGAAACCCAAAATGGGTTGCTATGAGCTGAAATTGACTCGATGGCAGTGAGTTTGGATTGTGTGTGTGTGTGTGTGTGTAAGGCCTGGAGTTAGAAAACTGAAAGGAAAGAACACTTTGGCATTTCCCAAGTTGAAAGAACTGAAGAAAAAATTCAAGACTTGAGTTACAATATTGAAGGACTGCATGGGGAAAATACTGAACAACAGAGGAAGCATCAAAAGAAGATGGAAGGAATATACAGTCACTGTACCAGAAAAAACTGGTGGATGCTCAACCATTTCAAGAGGTAGCATATGGTGAAGAACTGATGGTACTGAAGGAAGAAGTCCAAATGTACCAAAACCAAACTCACTGCCATGGAGTTGGTTCTGACTTATAGCAACCCCTTGTTGGGTTTTTGAGATGGTATCACTAAGGAAGTAGATTGCCCCATCTTCCAAGGAGTGGCTGGTAGGTTTGAATCGCCAGTCTTCTGGTTAGTAGTCAAAAGGCATTGGGAAAAAACAAGGCTCCAGAAATTGACAGAATACCAATGGAGATGTCTTACCAAAGGAATACACACAGGAAGTGCTCACTTACCTATGCAGAGAAATTTGGAAGACAGCTACCAACCAACTGGAAGAGATCCATATTTTTGATCATTCTAAAGAAAAGTGGTCCAGCAGAATATGGAAATTAAAATGGTTGTAGCAGTACATTGACAGGGAACTGACAGAAATTCAAGCCAGTTTCAGAAGAAGACATGGAATGAGGGATATCATTGCTGATGTCAGATGGATCTTGGCTGAAAGCAAAGAGTACCAGAAAGATGTTTGCCTATATTTTATTGACTATGCAAAGGCATTGGACAGTGTGAATCATAGCAAATTATGGATAACATTGCAAAGAATGGGAATTCCAGAACACTGAATTTTGCTCAAGTGAAACCTGTACATAGGCCAAGAGGCAATGGTTCAAACAAAGGATACTGCATGGTTTAAAATCAGGAAAGATGTGTGTCAGAGTTGTATCTTTTCACCATACTTATTCGATCTATACACCGAGTAAAGAATCCAAGAAGCTTCACTATATGAAGAATATGACATCAGGATTGCACGAAGACTCATTAACCACTTGTGATACGCAGATGACACAACCTTGCTTGCTGAAAGCAAAGAAGACTTGAAGTACTTACTGATGAAGATCAGAGACTATAGCCTTCAGTATGGATTTCACTTCAACATAAAGAAAACAAAAATCCTCACAACCGCATCAATATGCAATATCATGATAAATAGAGAAAAGATTGAAGTTGTCAGGAATTTCATTTTACTTGGATCCACCATCAACACCCGTGCAAACAGCAGCCAAGAAATCAAACCACTTATTGCATTGGGAAAATCTGCTGCTTAACCTCTTTAAAGTGTTAAAAACAAAGATGTCACTTTGAAGACTAAGGTGTGCCTGGCCCAAACCAGCAAAAGCTGGACAATGAATAAGGAAGACTGAAAGAAAATTGATGCATTTGAATTGTGTTGGCAAAGAATATTGAGTATGCCATGGACTGCTAAAAGAGCAAATAAATCTATCTTGGAACAAGTACAGCAAGAATGTCCTTTAGAAGTGAGAATGGCAAGACTTCTTCTCAAGTATTTTGGACATGTTATGAGGAGAGACCAGTCCCTGGAGAAAAATATCATGCTTGGTAAAGTAGAGGGTCAGCAAAGAAGAGGAAGACTTTCAAGGACATGGGTTGACACGATGGTTTTAACAATGGGCTCAAGCATAGCAAAGATTGTGAGGATGGTACAGGATCAGACAGTGTTTAGTTCTGTTGTACACAGGGTGCTGTGAGTTGGACTGACTTGATAGCACCTAAGAACAACAAGGAAATGGGGAAAGGAGCCCTGATTGCTTAAAGCACATGGCTGCTAACCAAAAAGTTAGTGGTTCAAACCCTGTGGGAGAAATATTACCACCTTGGAAACCCCTGAGGCACTTCTAATCTGTCCTTTGTGGTCACTATGAGTTGGAATCCACTCAGTGGTAACGGGTTTGGTGTTTTGAAAAATGGGAGTGAGGACAGTGGTGGTGTAGTGGTAGAATTCTCAACCTTCCATGCAGGAGACCCGAGTTCAATTCAAGGCCAGTTCACCTCATGCATAGCTACCACCCATCTGTCAGTGGAGGCTTGTGTGCTGCTTTGATGACGAACAGCTTTCACCAGAGCTTCCAGACTAAGACAGACTAGGAAGAAAGACCTGGTGGACTACTTTCAAAAATCAGCCAAGGAAAACTCTATGGATTAGAGTCCCTGGATGGCACAAACATTTAAGTGCCGGACTACTATCAGATAGGTGGTTGCTTAAAATTTACCCAGTGACACCTCAGAAGTAAGGCCTGGTGATCTGCTTGTGAAAGATCACAGCCTTGAAAATCCTACGGTGTGCAGTTCTACTCTGCACACACAGGGTTGTCATGAGTCAGAACCGACTCAAGAGCAACTAGTAACAACAACAGGTGATGGGTCACTTGTGCATTGAAAAACCCTTTGGATTACAAGGGTCTGATCTGCAACCAGTTACTGGGATGGCACAGGACCAGGCAGTATCTGTTGTGCTTGAGGTCGCCATGAGTTGAGAGCTGACTTGATGGCAGCTAACAACACCCTTGAGGAATTATCTTGAAATGACAAAGATAGATAGATAGATACATAGATTTAAATAGCATTTTATTATGTTTTGGTGAAGATTTACGTAGCAGTTTGGTTCCCATTCAACAATTTCTACATAAATTGTTCAGTGACCTTGGTTACATTCTTCACAATGCATGAACATTTTCATTATTTTCTTCTTGTTTTGTTTCCATTACTCTAGTTCCCTTGGCCCCTCATAGTCTAATCTTTGTTTTAAAGTAATTGTTGGCCCTTTGGTCAAAGGAACATGTTTTAAGTAACAGAAGATAGCATAAACTGGAACCAGAGAGAAAAAATCCTCTAGCATAACCAGAAGGATCTAGCAATGCTTCTTCAGTTTCAAGAAAAGCTTTGTAGAGTCTCCCACCCTGGAGGAGGTAGTGGGAGAGGGAGGGTTATTCTCTAGGAGCAGTTGGTGGAAGTGGGGAACTCTGCAGGCGAGGGGGCCCCAGGTGTGGGTTATGAGTTAGGCAGATCTGATCCAGATCTCTGCATAGAGATGGAGCCTGGATATCTGTGCTCAGCTCAAAGACTGCTGTGAGACTCGGCCTCTCAGAGAAGTGATTGCAGTCTTAGTGGAGGAATATTGTGGAAGAGGAGGATTAAGACAGTTCTTTGTCCTCTAGACTTTGCAGACCTCGCTTAGTGTATTGCTTCTTTTGGAGGAGACTTCCTGCAAGGGGGACACGGGGGAAAAGACAAACCACCAGGATGGCAGGAGGTCAAATTCAGGTTATGTGCAGAATGGTTGAATGAACTGAGGTTATTTAATATGAAATTCAAAGTTGGAGGTGGGTGTATGAAGACTGCCTTAAAAAATGAAACAAGCTTGTTTTTTATAGTCCTGATGGGGAGATCTAGGGCTGATCAATGGTGACAAATTCTAGTAAAAGATGGAACTTTCCATCACTCAGTGCCATGTTGGGAGGTGGTGAATGCAAGCTGAGGCTGGAGAATCACTTGCTCAAGATGCTAGAGGAAAAAAGAGATAAACTTTAAAGGCCCTTTTATGGCTCTTCTGCCTATTCCCAACTTACTGCCTCCCAAGTGAAAAAGAACCCCCGTTCCCTTCACCCAGCTCATGGCATTTCACCAAAGTGAGAACACACAGGGATTGGTCATTCCAGTGGCATGGAGACAGAAGAGAGTCAGGTGTAGAGCATAATAGGATCTCTTGGCCACAGAGTTTGAATGGGGCCATGCTGTGTTCCAGGTTCTTCATGTGGAGATTTGTGACTATGCTGTATGTGACAGATGTTCAGAATGACAGCTACTCCTGGCCTCTGCTTGTATACATGGGCACTAGCTGTGTGTACCCCTTTGTATCCAGCTGTGCACACACCTTCAGCTCTATGTCCAAGAATGCCCGACACATCTGCTACTTCCTGGACTATGGTGCCGTCAACCTCTTCAGCCTGGGTATGTGAGGCCCTGCTCTTACCTTCCCCTTCCTGTGACTGGGCCACTTGGCCCTTCCCCCATGAGCTGGGGTCACCATATGCTTTGATGGGTTTGTAGAAGAGTCATGGGAATACCGGTGCTCCTGTCCAGACATCTGATGCGTGTTTTGTAAGAAACTTCTCCAAAGGTGTGCTGGTAAATGGTTAACTACTGGCTCTCTGGGGACAAAAGTCCTGATTTGCAGTGTTTGCTATGTCCCTGGTGTAAATATTCCCACCATGGCTGATTTGAAGCTACCAACAGGAAATCACTGAGTGAAGAGTTGGGAAGATGTATGTACCATCCATGTAATTCCACTGTATAGAAATAGTAGAAGCAAATTGAGTGTTTATTTTGTTGATATAATTTATTTAATGTAAGCTTGTGCAATTTAATTTTTAATGATGGCTTTTTAATCACTGGCTTATAAGATTTCTGGAACTTTAATAGTCAGCTCTACCAGTCCAGGAAAAACCAACTCCAGCTCCTCAGTGCAGGTCTCTGCCATGACTGGTAGAGAAGCAGGGTGGGGTCATGAACACCGTGCACAGAAGCTTAGAGGAATTAAGAGATTTGCTCAAAGGCCCACAGGAATTGAGTGGTGAATCCACAGCTGATAAAGCTGGGTGTTAACACCTCATCCTCCTTGTCTTTTCCTCCAGCTATGATGCCGCTTTCCTCTGCCTCCTCTTCTCTCCTCCCACTTGTGAGCATCTATCTGTCCATCCACCAGCGTCCATCCTAGCTCTAACCTCTTCCTTCTTCCTGATCCTGCTCTAGGTGTGAAACAAATCATCACCGTCCCTTGTCTAAGAGGTTGTCCATGAGGAGGGTTCAACCTCCATCCTATTTCCTCTTCTCTCTTTTCCTTCACAGCCAGTGTTCTAAAAGTCACACACACTCACAAATACACACACACACATACATGTACACACATATACACACTCACATCTTCTCACCCATATACACATACACATATGTAATACACATGCACACATGTACACACACATGCACACTGTGCTGGTTATGTTTGTGTGTCAACTTGGCCTGGTTGAGTGGTTGGGCAGCTGGTGGTAGTTATTCCCCATGATGAGAATGGCAATCAATTCCATGGTGGGATCTACCACAAGCAGCTGAGTAGCTGCCTTTGGGATGTGGTCTGCTTCCTGTATTTAAGGAGAAGCCTTGGGAATAGTCTCTAGCTTATGGCACACTTGGACCCTCCATGTAGCTATGTCATTGCTCAGCAGCCTGCCATGCTCTGCCAACCTTGGGACTTACAATGGACTTAAGTTAATGGCTTGCTGTGTGGTTTGGTAACATCAGGACTATGCCTTTTTACTTGTCAACCCTGGGGCTTCTCAGCCTCAGCAGCCAGCAGCTGTCTGAGTGAAGAAATGCCTCTAGCTCCAGTGGGCCGGGAGCAGGAGGCAGAGCTGGACCCCAAGGTTGAGGGGCTTTCCCCATCCCCTAGAGCTTGGCACTTTGAACTTGGACTTAAAGCCTCAAAATTGTAAGAATAAACTCCTGTTTGTTAAGGCCATCCCATTTGTGGTATATTCTTGTCAGAGCGACACTAGGTAACCAGAACACACACACACACACACACACATGCACTGCACTGTCCTTATCACATCTCTCACTCCTTAATGCTCTGCTGTCCCCACCATTTACTGAAACTGGCTGCCAAGCCCCCAATCTCTTCCCAACTGTCTGAATCATCACAGGCTTTTCTGGCCTCATTTTCTGGGATCTCCCACCAGCCTTTGATGGAGGGATCCCTCAGCTCCCCCCTCTTTCTTTGGCCCCTCTTGAATCACTCCCCTTGGCCCTGCTCCCAGCCTTCCTCATTCTCCTCTGCAGATTCCCCTTCCTCATAGGTGGGTGAGTGCAGTATCATCCTTGGACCTCTTCCTCACCCTGGGTAAGCCCCTCCATGCCCACCTACTCCAAACACCTTTGGACAAGGTGCTCCCAAGCCCCCATCTTTAGTTTAAGGCTCTCACCTAAGGACCAGGCTGTGGACAGAGGCTGCTGGCACCTTCCTAGTCCCTGCCTCTAGATCTCCTCCTCCCGGAATGCCCCACCTAGCTAGTGGCTCTTCCTCCCACCTGCTCATCCAAGACCCAACTCTGTACATAATCCTCCCTTGCCCTTCCTGACTTCCACTATTCTATCGAATCAGGGTCAGGTCCAGCTGAGTCTCTTGTACAGTCCTCAAATGTGCCCACCCCTATTGCCTCTCACCTGAGCTGTTACAACAGCCTTCTCTGTGGCCCCCCATCCTCCCTCCGTGTTCCCAAGAAGGTTTCTACAACATTCTGACCATGCCACCCCTCCCCCTTACAGCCTTCTCAACTCCTTTCTCATGGCCTAGGATGTAATCCAAGCTCCTCCACCTAACTACTTACATGGCCTCCATCATCCTGCCCCAGACCCATTTATGACAAGGACACAGATTTTTGCAGCAGTCACTGTGGCAGGCACCATGTGGAGCCTTTCACATACATCACTGAGGGCAGCATAACATGGCGCTGATGGGCCCAGATTCTGGGGTTAGACTGCCTTGGTTCGAATCCTGCCCCTTCCCACTAATAGCTATATGCTCTTGGGCACATTCCTTAACCTCACCAAGCTTCAATTCTCTCATCTGTAAAATCGGTATGATTTCTTCCTTGTAGGGTTCTTAGGACAATTAAATGAGTTTCTATTTGTGAGGTACATAGGGTAGAGAGGGGGAGGTCATTACCATGATGATCTAATTAACCCTGACCAATGTCCCCTGAGGTAGATACCACTATTGGTCTCATGCTGTCCATGAGCAAATGAGGACTGGTGAGGATAAGTTACCTAGGGTCACAAGCTTGTAGGTAGCAGAGCCAGGGTTAGAAACTACACATCACACTGTCAGTCTTGATCTAGATTGCTTTCACTATGCTTCCATAGTCTCCACTCACCATGGTCTCCTCTTTCTCTGGACCCTCTGGACCCTGAATGCCATCCTCCCTCCCTGCAGGGCCTTCAAGGCTCAGCTCCTGGAGACCTCAGTGGTCCCTGGTCTGGGACCTCTTTCCAGCCTGGATCCATCTCTATGGTGTGACAGATCAATGACTCCTTCATTTCTAGTCCCCTGCTGGGAATCACTCCCTGAGAACAGGAGATTTGTCTTTCTTATTTGGTTTTCCAACCTGTAGCCTCCTGTCTGGCATTGAGAAGTGGTCAACAAACATGAAAGGAAGGATGGTCCTCCATCAAGTCAATTGATAGAAACTATTGATTTGGCCTCTGACTTTTACTGTGTCCTCTGCAGCCTCCTTCTTACTCCTGCGACTCTTGCTGAAGCCCTCAATCCTTTGAGCATGGCATTTATTCCAGTTTCCTTCCTAGTTTCCAGCTCTTCCTTCCTCTAGACCATCCTATGCACCTTCACTAGATTTTGGTCATATGAATCCCCCTCACAAGGACCCTCCATTGTTCCCTATTGCTGAAAGAGTAAAGCCAAGCATAGTGGGGTTGTAACAGTGAGCATTTTCTTTAGACCAGCATCCAAAACTGCATCTGGTCCTCTGCCCTGAAAAGTCTCCCCTGCCCTCTTGCATCTATTAGAGTCCTGCTGTTGTTCCAGGGCTGGGTTCCAACCCTGTGTCTGATCCTCTACCCAACCTGAACACCCACTTCACCCTCCTGCCCCCAGTCAGGCTCTGGTCAGTGTTGCTTCCTGTTGCAGTTCCTGGCAGGTCTAAGGCTCCCTTGCTCTTGTATCATGCATAGAGCTTGGCATACAGCTTGCCTATAGTTGGCACCCAGTCAGCAAATGCTTCCAGGTCCTAGTATTGAGCAGAGAGGAGAGCTTATCTGCCCCCCTGAAGGCAGCTCCCAGCTGAACCTCCCTGAAGAGGGAGAACGTGTATAGGCATGGTGGTCCTCAGTCCTTTTGCCTATATGGTCCTAGGAGCATCATCATCTTCACTAGACTCCATCTGTCGAATAAAAGATAGATAAAAGATAGAGGCTGAACTGTTCTGGGCCAAGGCCTGTTTCAGCTTTTTGCTAGGATTCCAGGGTTCTTTATGTCCTTGTGATAATAGGTGATCTTAGTCTGATTCCTCAGGCCCTGGCTGACAGGAGTTGGCTGCTGCTCCTGGAGGGGACCTCCTGGAGGGCACCTTGGCAGGTGAGGATACCTAGAGAGCATTGTACCTAGAGTACAACTGAGCCCTTTGGAAAGAACCATGATCTCCCCTGTCCTTCTGAACAAAAGCTTCAGCAAATAGGTCTCTAGAATGTTCTTAGGTAATCCTTGTCTCACAAACTCCCAAACCTAAATCAAAACAAAACACCTGAGGCTAGCCTCTTGCATCCAGCCCACTGTATGTGATATGCCTCAGAATGGCAGGGGCCCTCCTCACTCTGATACTGATCTTTCCACAAAGAACCCCCTATTTTGTTGGGCAGGTAAAATATCCCTACTCTGAGAGTAAAGCCAAGCACAGCGGGGTTGTAATTGTGAGGACTAGCACGTGATTAAGAGCAGAGAATTTGTCCCTAAACTGCCTGAGTTTGAAGCTTGGCTCTTTTACTTTCTAGCTGTGACTCTGATGAGTTATTGAACCTCTCTGTGCCTCCATTTCCTCTTTTGTAAAACGAGAGAAAGTTCAGGATTTATGCCAGAAGATTGTTATACTTGTGGAGTACTTGAATTAATATCTACAAAGCCCTTGGAACAATGCAAGGACTATGGGCAGCTCTCAGGATAGGATTTGGGTAGGTGGAGAAAAGAGGGGAGGACATTCATTCTGGGAGGGGTAATGGCACAAGCAGGGATGCAGAAGCAAGACTGCTTGTGGGTCTGTGGGGATGGTGAGGGCTGAGCCAGTTGCTGGGGATGGTGAGAACTGAGCTAGATGCTAGGGACAGTGAGGGCTAGGCCAGATTTTGGATGGTCTTTCCAAAGTGCCACAGTGGTGCTGGGTCCTGGCTTCTCTCCCAAGGCTGGTCTTTCTTTCCCAGGCTCAGCCATCGCCTACTCTGCATATACCTTCCCTGACATGCTGGTGTCCACCACCTTCCATGACTACTACGTGACCCTGGCTGTGCTGAACACCATCATCAGCACTGGCCTCTCCTGCTACTCCAGGTACCTGGCCTCTCTGATCTCCAGTGGGGGTGGGGGCCTAGCATTTCCATGGCCCTTGGATGAAACAGTGGGACAGGCAGCTCAGCATGAGTTAGGGAGCAGTGGAAAGGCCACTCAGGAGCCTGGAACTCAGTTCCAGATGGACCTCCTGTTGCCAGGAAGAGCTGATTTCATGGCGTGTAACTTATACAGTCAGATACACAGGGCCCCTTGCTCAGAAGGACCCTGCTCTCCTTTTGCACTGGGCCCTGCAAATTGTGGAGCTTATGCCTATTGCTAAGCAGCTCACTTACCCTCATTAAATGTCAGTTTGCTCATCTATAAAATGAGGCCAGCGCATCTACCTTCTGAGGTAATGTAAGGAGGACAGGTCATATGCTCACAGCACCCCGCCCAGGACTGGGGTGCCCAGCAAGTAGGTAGTACATTAAAAGTCACTGAGGGACCTATCTCTACACATACATGCTGGGTGATGGGTGACACATCCCCAAGGGAAGACCGATGGCTAGAAGTCCCACCCAGATCACTGGCTCTAATTCCCGCTATTTTTTCCTTTCACTCAAAAAGCTCACTGGACTGTAAGTGTGGGAGACATTGTTACAGGATTCCTTGCTCTAGTTTATTCAGCTCTTTGTAAAGGTGAACTGCCCATTGTTCCAGTTCTCTGCATGACTTACAAAACCTCATATGGCTGTATTTGAGTGATAGCCCTGTCTCGACAGTAACAAGGTGCTGGATACTTCCTTGGGGTGGGGACCTTCAGTGGCAGGTCATACCTGAGTGCTACCCCTACCCCAACCCCCAGTTCATTTCAAGCCCACAATTCCAGGGAATCATTTTGAGTCTCCCTGCTTAGGATCATTGCAGGCCTCAAAGAATTATTATTGCTTGCACCCCTCCATTCTCCATTCCACCCCCTCCAGGAAAAAAAAAGGGAAGGAGAAGCATGTGCCTGCAACTTCTCCAGAATGATTTTGGCTCCAGCTTCCTTTGGTGACTGGTTTTACAGGACCAAGGGAGAGGCAGGCAAGTTCTATAAACTTGATGAACTGGTTTTGTTTTATTTTTAAATGGAAGGCTAGATTCTTTTTTTTTTTTTTTTAATAACTTTTTATTGTGATTTGGGTAAAAGTTTTGAGAACAAATTGGTTTTCCACTCAACAATTTGTACACATTTTTTTTTGTGACATAAATTGTAATCCTCACAATGTCACAGCACTCTTCCCACTTCCTCCTTGTGTTTTCCATTTCCTTTCATCCTTCTTTCCTACCCCTTCCTGCCTTCTGAGCTTCTGATCAAAAGCACATGCTGCCCTTTTGATCTTATGTGGGTGATTGTTCTAAGGAGTGTCTACCTCTCTGGTGTTATAGGCCTGTATGTTGTTTGGTGGAAAGTTGAGTTATGGGTGAATTCAGTTCCAGGCTTGAAGGATGTCTAAGGGCCACAGTCTTATGGGTTCTACCAGTCTCTATAAAAACAGTAAGCCTGGGGGAAGGCTTTTTTCTTTCTCTTATGATTAGGGTGAAAGTTTACAGAGCAAATTCTTTTTCCACATAGCAGTTCAGATACATTTTGTTTCATGACATTGACTGCAATCCCTGTAATGTAACAGCTCTCTTCCCACTTCCTCCCTGTGGTTACCTTTTCCCTGTGTCCTTCTTTCCTATGCATTCCTGCCCTCTGATATATCTCCCTGTGCAAATACTGCCTTTCTGATCTCCCATGGTTGATTGTTCTAAGGAGTGTATCTACCTGGTGTAAATGTTCACCTCTATGCCTGTCGGTAGCGTAGGGCCTAAGACACTTGACTGCTAACCAGAAGGCTGGTGGTTCAAACCCACCAGCCACTCCTCAGAAGGAAGATGGGCATCTACTTCCATAGTGATACTGCCTCAGAAACCCAAGGAGGGGTCGCTATGAGTCAAGTCAGACTCAACGGCACATAACAATATGCCTGTCTATTGTTTGGAAACCACATGAGTGAGTTCAATTCCAGGCCTGAAGAATGACTAGGGGCTATAGTCTCGGGGGTTTCACCAGTCTCTATCAGATCAGTAAACCTGGTGGTTTTTTTTTTTTTTTTTATGATTTTGAATGATGTTCCACATTTTTCTCTCACTCCATCCAGAGTGGGACTGATCCCTTTCCAAGTGGTAGCTGAGTACCATATAGTTCTTCTGGTCTCAGGGTCAAGTAGGCTGAGGTTCCTATGCTCCACTAGTCCCTTGGACTAATTGTTTCCATGCATGTTTGGTTTTCTTCATTTTTCTTTGCTCTGGATGAGAAGAGACCAATTGTTGTATCTAGATAGCTGCTTGCAATCTTTTATGACCCCAGTCACTACTCACCAAAGTAGAATGTTTTTGTTTAGTATGTTATGCTAATTGTGCTTGATGTCCCCTGCAACCATGGTCCCAAGCCTATGGGCCCAACTACTCACTCCCTCTGGGTGGTTGGCTATGGCTATGATTTTATCATTACTTTGCCCCCTGTTGGTTCTATGTATATGGACATTCTTACAGCATATACAAATATATATGTAGAAATATCATCTGCCAACCTTCTATACGGTCATGGGTGTATTCCCTTTTGCCTAGACATACCTGATCATTTAGCCGTCTACCCATGTATCTAGGAGCTCTGGTGGTATAGTGCCTAAGGCATTTGATTGCTAACCAGAAGCCTAGTGGTTCTCTTTTTACTCTTTTGGAGAAGTCTTTTGATGCACACAAGCCATTTACTTCCCTAGAGATACCGCCTTGGAAACCCAAGGAGAGGTCAGTATGAGGTGGGACGAACTTGCAGCAGTGAGTTTGGTTTCAGTTTTACCTATGTGTCTACCCATATATTAATGTTTGTTATGACTGATAATGCAGTATTGTATATGTAAAAATGTTTATCTTTGTTGTCTGTACCTCTTGTGTACCTCTCTATGTCTTCCTTTTCCATAGTGTTATTGTGTTGATCCCTTGCTTTTGGTATATTGCCTTTCCCTTCACCCAAATCAATACTTGTCTCTTACCTATCTAGCAATTTTCCCTTCCCTCCTCTCCCATCCCTGGTAACCAACAAAGAAATTTTCCTTCCATATGTAAGCCTTTCCTTGACTTTTTACAATAATGGACTAAAACAACATTTGTCTTTCTGTGGTTGACTTATTTCACTCAGCATAATATTTTCCAAGTTTATCCACATTATGTAGTGTTTTGCAGATTCTACATCATTCTTTAGTGTTGGATAATGTTCCATTGTGTGTATGTATCATAGTTTCATTATCCATTCTTCTGTTGATGGACACTTAGGTTGTTTCCATCTCTTTGCTATTGTGAATAGTGCTGCAAGAAACATGGGTATGCATATATTCGTTCGTGTCTTGGCTCTCACTTCTTTAGTATATGTACCTAATAATGAAATTGCTGGATCAAATGATATTAGTATTTCCAACTTTAAGGAATTGTCATACTGCTTTCCACAGTGGTTGTATCATTTGACAGTCCCACCAGCAGTATATAAGAGTCCCAAACTCTCCACATCCTTGCCAGCATTTGTTATTTTCTGTCTTGTTGAACTTTGCTATTAGTGCTGGGGGAAGATGATATTTCATGGTTGTTTTGATTTGCATCTCCCTAATGGCTAATGATCACACATATTTATTCATGTGTTTGTTGGCTGCCTGAGTATCTTCTTTGGTGAAATATCTGTTATGTCTTCTGCCCATTTTTTAATTGGATTGTTTCTCTTTTTGATATTGAGGTATAGGAGTTTCCCATCAATTTTAGAGATAAATCCCATGTGAGATATGTCATTGCTGAGTATTTTTTCCCAGTCAGTAGGTTCTCTTTTTACTCTTTTGGAGAAGTCTTTTGATGCATACAAGAATGTAATTTTTAGAAGTAAGGCTAGATTCTTAAATAGCATCAGGAATACTGGCCCAATTTACCTTCCATTTCTTGGACCTACGACAGACTGGGGTTGGTGTGTAAAAGTTGTTTCCAGGTACAGCCTCAACACCATTTGTGTGTGTGTGTGTTGCTTCATTTCCTTTCAAATGCCTGAGAGAAGTGAGGGAATAAACTCTTCCCTCTTCCTGGAGATTTCAGAGCTCTCCTAAAGCTGACAAGAGAGAGGGCTGACCTGTAAGAGTGGGAAGTAAAACTAGACATCATGGGGCTATTTTATTTCCTTCTCCCACAACTCTTCAATGACTCTGGAAATTCAAAGCTCTTTACTAAGCACCACCTCTGTGCCAGGCAAGGAGCTCTGGTGGCATAGGGCCTAGGGCATTTGGCTGCTAACCAGAAGGTTAGTGGTTCAAATCCTACCAGTTGCTCCATGGAAGGAAGATGGGGTGATCTACTTCAGTAAAGATTTACCACCTCGGAAACCCAATGGGGCTTTGAGTCAGAATTGAATCGAAGGCACTGAGTTTTATTTTTGTTTCTGTGTCAGGCAGGGGCTATTAAGGCTGCACTGATGATGGACAGGGGAGGAGATGGGTCCTTGCCTTGGGTGAGAGAAGGCCCAACACACTTAGAAAAGAAATAACAATGCTAAAAACAGCTCAAGAGAGAGAATAAGTGCACAGGGCTGGGTGCATAGGTGCATGGTCAATCTTTGGTCCAGGCACCTGGACACATCTGGATCTCCTCCTTGGACCAGTCCCTGTGTGTTTGGCTCCTGCAAGGCTGCATAGTTCTGGTGTCTGGAATGACAGATCAAAGGAAGGAGAGCTCTTCTGGGTGAGGGGACAGGGAAAGTTTCCTGGGTGTGGAAGAAACAGTCCCCAGGGTTAATGACCCAGGACTGCTTTCCTTTGAACTCAGAATGCAAATTCTCAGAATACTTGCTGCTTGTTTGTATTGTTGTTAAGTGTTTTTTTCCTAATGCATTTTATTGAAATATAATGTATGTACAGTGAAATAAACAAAATTAAAGTGACATGGGTCAATGCATTTTTTTTTTTCCAGTGTTCCCTCCCCTCCCCTCACACCCCTGGCAA